TAGGGGACAGGGACTGCTGCTGGCTGGAGGCTTTTCGGGTGCATCTTCCTGTCTGTCACCAGGGGACTGCTGCTGCTGCTGCTCTTGCTGCTGCTGCTCCCGCTGCTGCTCGTACGAGTGGGGGGCAACATGATGTCTCTGCCGTTGCTGCACCTGCTGCTGCTGCTGCTGCTGCTGCTGCCCCAGCTCCTGCCCGACCTCCACGATCGCCTCCTGCACCTCCGCCGCCCCCTCCACGTTCTTCACGCCGACGTCGACGCCGTCGGTCTGGCCCGCCGCGGCGGCCGCGGCGGCTGCCGCTACGCCAGCCGCGGCGGCGGCGGCGGCAGGCGACAGCGCCGCGGCGCGCGCCACAGCGGCGGCGGTCGCGGCGGGGCAGCCACGGCTGGCCGCGGCGACGGCCTCGGCAGCGGCGGAGGCCGCGGCCGCCGCGGCGGCGCCAGCGGCGGCGGCGGCGCTAGCAGCGACCGCGGTGGCGGCGCAGTCCAACAGGCCGCCAGCGGCGCCGGCGGCCGAGGGCAGCGCCAACCCGAGCCCAGGGGGCACCTCGGGCCCCTGGCGGCGCTCGCCGAAGAAACGGTCGCCCCCTTGCCTCTGGGCCGCCGCGGTGCGCTGGTGGCGACGGCGAGCAGCTGGCGACACGGCAAGCGCCGCCTGCCCACCAGGCGGGCGGAGCCACCTGCGCCAAGCAGCGCTTGGCGGCAGCGCCCCGCCGCGGCCGCCGCCCTCCCGCCACTGAGCTGCCGCGGAGGCCGCCTCCCGACAGGGATCGGCCGCCTGCACCGGGTCATCGGCACGCCAGCAGTGACCCCGCCAGGACACAGCGGCCGCCGCGGCCGCCGCGAGAGCGCCCTGCTGCTCTAGGCTCGAGCCAGGGCGGCTTGAGCCAAGGGGACTACGGATCGCTGGTGGGGATACGCGAAGCGTCTAGAATTTCATAAATCATTTTTTTCGGCGCCTGCGGCGGTCTTTCGTTTCCAATCCAGCTTATGCTATCCTATCCATATTACAGTTTCCAACCTATTCTGCCCCATCTTATCTTATCCCACCCAATCCAATCCATCCAACCCAATCCATCAATTCATTTGTTTCTGCGCCTGTGGCGGGCCAGTCAAACCCATCTTACAGTATCCGACCCATTTTTTCAAATCCAACCCATCTTATCTTATCCAATCCATCTTATCTCATCCAATGCAACCCACCCAACCCAATCCATCAACTCATTTTTGTCGGCGCCTGCGGTGGGCATTCTTATCCAATCCAGCTTAGCTTATCCAATCCATCTTGTCCAATCTAATCCATATTATCTTATCCAACCCATCTTGCCCCATCTTATCTGATCCCACCCAATCCAATCCATCCAACCCAATCCATCAATTCATTCGTTTCTGCTCCTGCGGCGGGCCAACCCAATCCATCTTATCTTATCCAATCCATCTCTTCCAATCCAACCCATCCCCTCTTATCCAATCCATCTTACCCCATCCAATCCAATCCACCCAACCCAATCCATCAATTCATTTTTGCGGCGCCTGGGCGCGATCGAGAGGGCGAGATAGAGAGTGAGAGAGAGAGAGAGAAAAACAAAAGACAGAGAGAGAGAGAGAGAGAGAGAAACAGAGAGAAAGAGAAAACTGAGATCAAGGCGACAGGCTGGAGGTCAGTCCGGGTGGGCATTTGATCTCAATTTTCCCCCAACCTCCTTATCGCCCGCAGGGCGGTCGTATAGGTATTGCAGCGTCCCCGCGCGAAGGGCCCATCGAGAGATATAGTTTCTGCGTTCTAGATGTCAATGCGTTTGGGAATCGGAGGCCGAAATTACTAGTTCTTGTAATGATGGCAGCGGCTCATGGTCCATGGCGCCTGAACCCCCCCAAGCCCCCCTCGAGATCTTTTGGAGGCTCCCCTGGACGATCCACAGCCATCTCAAGAAAGGGGCAAAATGGTCCACGGCAGGCCTCATATGGTCGCAAGACTGCTCCGACACTGCCCCAAGGCCGCTCTTTAATGCCGCGGGGCCCTCCGTTGCCCCTAAGACCCCTTTCGATCGCGCCTCAAGTCCTCCTGAGAGCGCCTCCGAGGCACCATGTCCAGGAACCTTCTGGAAAACGAAGATCATTGAAAAACCATGCGCTCCCCAATGCTTGTGTTCTTCCCAACCATCCTGTGGTGTTGGGTCCTCGTTTTGAAGAGACGGTGCCCCGCGTTCGTCCTCCTCCTCCTCCTCCCCCATCCCTCCTCCCATCATCATCATCATCATCATCATCATCATCATCATCATCATCATCATCATCATCATCATCATCATCATCATCGTCATCATCATCATCATCGTCATCATCATCATCACCGCCGATTTCGGCACACCCCTCACACGTTTCGTGGCCCCATAGGGAGCTCCACCGAAGGCCCCATTGGCAGGGTTCGCATGCCTCCCCACCACCCATTTCGGCACACCCCTCACACGTTTCGTGGCCCCATAGGGAGCTCCACCGAAGGCCCCAGTGGCAGGGCTCCCCACCACACATTTCGGCACACCCCTCACACGTTTCGTGGCCCCATAGGGAGCTCCACCGAAGGCCCCAGTGGCAGGGTTCGCATGCCCCCACCACCGATTTCGGCACACCCCTCACACGTTTCGTGGCCCCATAGGGAGCTCCACCGAAGGCCCCAATGGCAGGGTTCGCATGCCTCCACACCACCCATTTCGGCACACCCCTCACACGTTTCGTGGCCCCATAGGGAGCTCCACCGAAGGCCCCAGTGGCAGGGTTCGCATGCCTCCCCACCACCCATTTCGGCACACCCCTCACACGTTTCGTGGCCCCATAGGGAGCTCCACCGAAGGCCCCAGTGGCTGGTTCGCATGCCTCCCCACCACCCATTTCGGCACACCCCTCACACGTTTCGTGGCCCCATAGGGAGCTCCACCGAAGGCCCCAGTGGCAGGGTTCGCATGCCTCCCCACCACCCATTTCGGCACACCCCTCACACGTTTCGTGGCCCCATAGGGAGCTCCACCGAAGGCCCCAGTGGCAGGGTTCGCATGCCTCCCCACCACCATTTCGGTACACCCATCACACGCTTCGTGGCCCCATAGGGAGCTCCACCGGAGGCCCCAGTGGCAGGGTTCGCATGCCTTTCGTTCCACTACACGTCACACGTTTCGTGGCCCCATAGGGAGCTCCACCGAAGGCCCCAGTGGCAGGGTTCGCATGCCTCCCCACCACCCATTTCGGCACACCCCTCACACGTTTCGTGGCCCCATAGGGAGCTCCACCGAAGGCCCCAGTGGGGTTCGCATGCCTCCCCACACCCATTTCGGCACACCCCTCACACGTTTCGTGGCCCCATAGGGAGCTCCACCGAAGGCCCCAGTGGCTGGGTTCGCATGCGCCCCCACACCCATTTCGGCACACCCCTCACACGTTTCGTGGCCCCATAGGGAGCTCCACCGAAGGCCCCAGTGGCTGCGTTCGCATGCCGCCCCCACACCAATTTCGGCACACCCCTCACACGTTTCGTGGCCCCACAGGGAGCTCCACCGAAGGCCCCAGTGGCTGCGTTCGCATGCCGCCCCCACACCAACTTCGGTGCACCCCTCACACGTTTCGTGGCCCCATAAGGAGCTCCACCGAAGGCCCCAGTGGCAACGTTCGCATGCCGCCCCCACACCCATTTCGGCACACCCCTCAAACGGTTCGTGGCCCCATAGGGAGATCCACCGAAGACGGTACTCACACCAGCATTACTCACAACTGCATATGGTTGGGTCCTTCGCCAGGCTAATTCCACTGCGGAGGGTTCATACCTGCTTCCAAAATGTCCCCAGGCTGGCTTCGGGCCGCTTCTGACGGCGACCCAGCGATGAAGGAAGCGCACAAGCTACTCCCGACAATCCTAAGGTGGCGTAGAACCCTTCCACGACAGCCCCAAGGCAGCCTCTGACCAGGCCCCCCACCCCAAAGACAAGCGAGAATCGGCAAGAACCAACGTCAAGTTCAATTCGCCCAAAGGCCGCGCTAAGAGGCCTTCCGCGGGGTCCCGTCCCTCACTCGAAATAGAAGTGCAATCCCAAACCGCAAAGCGCAATGGCCACAACAATCGTACGGCGCGGGGGCAAATCCGTATGTCTCTGGCAAGCGGCTGAAACACCAACACACTTTCAATACCTGTCACCACACTAAGGCTTGCCAAACAAACTTTGAAGATCACCGTTATCTGGGAGCCGCAAACCGATGCGCCGTGTCCCAGGCGTCGGTCCAGTGCGCGGATGTTGCCAGTGCTATGCGTTGCTAAAACTATGCTAACTAAATATGTGTTAAGATCATGATTGGCTATCCGATGCCATGCTGCGTTAAGCTATGAGATGCCAAGCTACGCGATGCTGTTCAATGCTGTGCCGTGACCGGTTATGTGACGCAGTGCTACGCTATGCGTTGCTATGCTACGCCGCGCTATGTCACGCATAATGTGCTAGGCTAGCCAATGGTGTACAACGCAGCAATGCCATTATATGCTAGGCGGTGTTCTGTTATGTGTTGCTATGTTGTGTTATGATTTGCGTAATTAGCATGACACCGCGTGAAGGTGCACCCTATTGTGTTGTTTTGCACATTCACGCCTTCAGCAGCATATCCCTACCCATCGTTCGGAAGAAGTGGGTCTACACATGAAGTGGGAAGGCATTGAAAGTGTATGGGGTTTCCGATCGCTCCCAGAACAGGAAGGAATCAGGAAAAACGTTCGAGTCTTGGAATCAGAAATGTGCCTGAGCTGTAAAGGAATCAAGAGACCCAAACATACATACTTTCAAAGAACGGTGGGCAATTGGGATCGAGCTCCATCTGGTCACGGGGCATGTTTGACTTTTCACTTTCAGTGTGACGCACTAGCTTCTCCGACTGTGTTCTTACCGCTTTTCCGCGAAGGCCGCCAGACTCCGAACACTACGCTTGGTATTCGCGACTCCAAAGTGGCGGACACGCGCGGCAGCGCAGACGGATACACGTGGTGAGCGCCAGGCCACTGTTGCATGTAACGAAGCCATATGGAACTCGGGTTTGCTGGAACATGTGCGCCGTCAAGCACAACCATGCCATCTGTAATTATTTGTTGGTAAATCGCAAACTCTGGGGTCGACCCGTTGTCCAGAGCCAAAAGCAGCACTACATGCAAGGCGAGAATGGCACTCTGCTGGTTGGTTTGGTCATGGATCCAATGTTTGACTGTCGTCGGAACGTTGCTGCCAGGGTCCAATAGAGCACGCGCCACTCTGGTCAGTGGAAGTCCCGGCTCCATGTATGGCACAGAGTTTAAGAAATGGAGCATTTTTCTACGATCCCCTTCATTGTTCTCCTCTTCATTGCTGTGGACATGCGACTTATGGACCAACGCCAGCGCTAAGGCGAGCCGGCGTGCAGGAATTTCCCTTGGCATTGGGTGCGCGTCACTCTGGCCGTGCAAGATTCGGAGAGCCTCCTCTTCATTTGCTCTCTCTTCAGTAAGCGCGAGCTGCAACGCGCGAACTGAAGACGCATATCCAGGGTAGATGGCGAAAGCGGATGGTACTTCTTGCGTCATGGCAGGTGCGCAAAAGCGCCTCACAGGCTCCAGCTCGTGGAAACGCTGAGGTAAGAACTGTCCACGGAGCCGAGCTCGGTCTCTCTTCAATGCTAGACGGGCAGCATCTCGCTCCAGTCCGTTTTTTGACAGCTGCCGGAGGAAGAGGAAGACAATATTGCGATGTAACGTCGTGGGAAGCATGGCCATCGCTGCGGCGACGGGCGCGACACCTCCAGGTGGGCACAGACCTGGGGTGTAGAACCCGGGGGGGTAGCCTACCCTAGGCCCTGACCAAGGCCCTAGGGTAGCCTAGGGTAGGCCCTACCCAAGGCCCTTGGGTAGCCTAGGCTAGGCCCTACCCAAGGCCCTAGGGTAGACCTAGGGTAGGCCCTACCCAAGGCCCTTGGGTAGACCTAGTGTAGGCACTACTCAAGGCCCTAGGGGGAAGGCCTGGGGTAGGCCTAGGGGGTAGGCCTACGGGGTAGGCCTAGAGGTAGGCCTAGGGTAAGCCCAGGGGGTAGGCCTAGGGGTAGGCCTAGGGTAGACCTAGGGGGAAAGCCTAGGGTTAGGCCTAGGGTAGGCCTTGGGGATAGGCCTTGGGGGTAGGCCTAGGGGGTAGGCCTAGAGGTAGACCTAGGGTAGGCCTAGGGGGTAGGCCTAGGGGTAGGCCTAGGGTAGCCCTAGGGGGTAGGCCCAGGGGGTAGGTCCAGGGGGTAGGCCTAGTGTAGGCCTAAGGGGTAGGCCTAGGGGTAGGCCTATGGTAGGCCTGGAGGGTAGGCCTAGGGGTAGGCATATGGTAAGCCTAGGGGTAGGCCTAGAGGTAGACCTAGGGGAGGCCAACCCCAAAGGTGTCGCAACCTGGTATCAATTTTTGGCGGCCCTGGGGTTCGAAAGCGGCCTCCAGCGACCGAAAGCGACAGAAAACCTCCTCGGACGCCGATCGTCGGACGACGACGACGACGTCGACGACGTCGGGTCGGGACGGGACGGGTCGGGTCGGGCGGACCCTAACGGGCGGGTCGTGTCAGGACGGGTCGGGCCCTAACGGGCGGGTCGGTCGGGTCGGGCCGGCGGGGCATTCAAATATGATGCATGTGCAAATAGACACGCCAGAACCCTAACGGGTCGGGTCGGGATGGGACCGGTCGGGTCGGGCGGACCCTAACGGGTCGGTTGGGGTCGGGTCGGACCCTAACGTGCAGTTCGGGTCGGGCAGGCGTGACATTAAAGTATGTTGCATGTGCGAATGGACACGCGAGAACCCTGACGGGTCGGGACGGGACGGGTCGGGCGGACCCTAACGGGCGGGTCGGGTCGGGTCGTACCCTAACGGGCGGGTCGGGTCGGGTCGGCGGGACATTAAAGTATGTTGCATGTGCGAGTGGACACGCGAAAACCCTAACGGGTCGGGACGGGCCAGGACGGGCGGACCCTGACGGGCGGGTCGGGTCGGGACGGGTCGGACCCTGACGGGCGGGTCGGGTCGGGTCGGCGGGACATTAGAGTATGATGCATGTGCGAGTGGACACGCGAGAACCCTAACGGGTCGGGTCGGGACGGGGCCGGTCGGGTCGGGCGGACCCTAACGCGCGCGTCGGGTAAACCTAGGGTAAGCCCTGGGGGGTAGGCCTAGGGGTAGACCTAGGGTAGGCCTAGGGGTAGGCCTAGGGCGTAGGCCTAGGGAATAGGCCTAAGGTAGACGTAGGGTGGAAGCCCAGGGAGTAGGCCTAGAGGTAGGCCTAGGGTGGGCCCAGGGGTAGGCCTATGGGGGAGGCCTAGGGGTAGGCCTAGGGTAGACTTGGAGGTAGGCCTAGGAGGGCCTGGGGGTAGGCCTAGGGTAAGCTAGGAGGTAAGCCTAGGGGGTAGGCCTAGGCCTAGGGGGTAGACCTAGGGGTAGACCTAGGGTAGGCCTTGGGGGTAGGCCTAGGGGTAGACCTAGGGTAGGACTAGGGGGTATGCCTAGGGGTAGGCCTGGGGTAGGCCTAGGAGGTTAGCCTAGGGGGTAGGCCTAAGAGGTAGAACTAGGGCATAGGCCTACGGGAAGGCCTAGGGTAGGCCTACCCTCCGGGTTCTATATGCTAGGGGTAGGCCTCGGGTAGGCCTAGGGGGTAGCCCCAGGGGTAAGCCTAGTGTAGGCTTAGGGGGTAGGCCTAGGGGTAGACTTAGGGTCAGGTGTAGGCCTAGGGTAGGCCTAGGGGGTAAACCTAGGGGAAGACCTACAGGGGTAGGCCTAAGGTAGGCCTAGGGTAGGCCTAGGGGTAGACCTAGGGATAGGCCTAGGGGGTAGGCCTAGGGGGTAGGCCGAGGGGTAGGCCTAAGGTAGACCTACCCTCGGGGTTCTATACGAGACCTGGCGCGCGCTGTCGGTCGTGCAGATTGATTGAGAGCACAAGCTCGCGCAGTACCGGTGAGAGGACAGCTGCATCCTGGGTGGATAAATCCTCTGTCGCATTCCGTGGGAACTCTGAGCCTTCCTCGCCTACATGGGCTCCCTCGTCTTCATCTTCTCCATCGGCAGCTGCTAGTACAATGGCGTCAGCAGAGACCTGCAACAAATACTTCAACGTTGCAACCACGAACAACTTCCTAATGTTCCGCGTCCCATCTTGTTGCCTCGCCGCGTGAGGCTGTGCAGGCGGTTCCGTCGTCAGAAGCCTGAGCTTTTCAATGGCCCAGCTCAGACCATGGGCGCTCGCATTAGAGCTCAACCGGTCAGCCCAAGTCTGTGCGAGCAGCTGCGCCAATGGCCCCTCTTCGCCGCAACCTCCTGCCCACGCTGCCAACTCAGCAGGAATGCCCTGGTACCCAGGCACGCGAGCCCAAGCTTGCGTGATCAAATCACCCATCTGGACTGCAATTGCCCAATTGTTACGAAGGAAAGAATCAAATATATCGAGAAAACGGGCCATGAAACAACTGGCGGCTGCGTAAGTCAACTCCAACTGCCCGGCTTTCGGGGAGATGCTGCTGTGGGCTGGCAAGGCCCATCCGAGATGAAGCACCCGATTTTCCCCAACTATCATCCACGGGTGACTCCCCACCACAAGATCCAGCAAGCTTTTTGCTTCTGCGAGAGCCTCGTGTGCAACTGATAATTCGGCGTGCCCAGTGCCAGGAGCAGAACCAGAAGCCTGCAACACATTACGTGGAGGTCCAAGGACAAGTCTGGCGATAGAGGCAATACTATTGGAAACTATAGCTGCGTCCCGTGTAGGGGCTCCGCATGCGACATCGCACAGGAACTTCAAGAGGCAGTCGAAGAGCGGCGGGCGTTCCGAACCCTTGTCCTTGAGATCCTCCAAATAGCATGATACAATTGCTTGAGTATCGACGCTTGCTGAATCGAGCTGGCACCGCAAAGTAACAGCGTAGTCCAAGAAAGGCCACTGCTGCATAATCGTGTCGTGGATGTTCTGCAGCTGTCGCTCCAATTCGCTTGACGATTGCTTGTCATCGCGGTCCCCTGCAATCTTTGCAATTGCAGGTTCGGCGCTCTGCCAGAGCTTGCGAAACGAGCTTGACATCTCGCGGATCCTGGCGATTCCGTCGTTCCCTGCCACGTGTGACAACATTGCTTCCAGCGTGGTTTGCAAAATGCTCGCCAGCAGAAGCCACGCAGGCAAAGCGACATCAAGAACGCCCTCAGACCCAGCATCAGGCATGGGCCACTTCTCCCCTTTATCCTTGTTGCTCCAGCTGGTGGCGGCCCTATTCATCTTCAGCCAATGCTCCACAACATGCTCGACTTTTAGCCACGCCTGCTGACAACTTTCTTCTCCGATCTCTGACACCAGCGAACACAAATGCACCAACAAACGGTCTTGACCCGAGAAGAAATCCGCCGAACCCTGCTTGCTGGGGGTGCAAAACCGTGAGATGATTGGCTGTCCCCCTCCCCTGGGGTCTAGAATCCCGTTAGAGGGGGAGGGGGGTGGGGGCCAGAGCTCGGCAACGCACCACCAGGGCCTCCGGAGCGTTCAACTCTTTACTCCGTGGCCTCCAACATACGCAAGATGCGATCTAAGCTGGCTCAAGATGGGTTCTAAGCGGAGGAATCCCCCCGAAGGCGCAAAATGGCCTCAAGACCAGTCCAAGAGGATTCGAAGATGCCCCAAGATGGCTCCAAAAGGACCCCTACGAGGGTCCCAAGAAGCAACAGTCGTCCCAATCCTTGAAAAAGCATGTATTCTTTTGCATGTGTGCCTGTTTGGTTTGAACAGCGTCCACGGCGGCTCAGAGGCCCGCAGGATCACTCCAAAGCGGCCCAAAAGGCCCCCAAGAGGGTCTCAAGACAGCACGAGGGGACCCCAAGACGGCCCGAGAGGGCCCCAAGACGGCCCATAAGAACCCCGAAAGTGCCCCCAGGTGGCCCCATAGAGGCAACTCGAGTTGATATTGCGAGCCCCCCGCCCCAAGAGGACCCCCGAGACCGCCAGCATGCGCCCAAGAACCCCCCAAGAGGCCCCCAACAGGCCCACAAGAAGCTTGCAGACGCCCCCCAAAAGTACCCTCGAGGCCCCCAAAAGCTCTTACAAGTGGACATCTCCCCTGTCCTGGTGGACCTTTCGAGCGTGCGTTCCCCTCCTGCTCCTCCTCCTTCTCCTCCTCCTCCTGCTCCTCCTCCTCCGCCTCCCTCTCTGATACCTCCATGCCGTCCTCATTCGTGGTCTCCAGATTTCTCACTCCTCACCCTGTCC